AGCAGGAATTGAACTAAAACCAAACGCTTGCAGCCTTGTGAGGATTTTCTGAAATAGAGTTTTGTATTCCACCTCTATTCCCTCCTACTGAGGGGAGACAGTCAGTGTCCCCAAAGATAAGAATAGAAGTTTTGATCACTTCCTGTGTTATTAGTTACATACCACTATCCAGTCCATATCATTAATCTCCATATAAGCTATAAGTCTTTGCGTAGCGAGAGAAGGAATAAAGGTAAAGGAACCCTATAAGGAAGTAGAATCCCTTTCAAACTGTGAGTCAAGATAGGCACCTCAGATCTTGTTTTTGCATTGCACTGACACCATCATTGAAAGGCAGCCAGACAGGCCCTGGCAAAACGGTTTGCCAACTGCCATCCACTCTTAATTTTCAAATGTCCATTTCTCATATGTAATTCTCTTGCCCACACTTTGTGCCTATTACTTCATTTTGCTAGAAAGGCTGACAGTATTCCCACCTTTACATCCTTCCATGAAAAGTGCAAACATTAGTGTCTTGAGTAGTATCAGGAAAACAGGCAGATACAGACATCTGTGAATCTGTTTCTTAGAAGTTCAACAGCTGGCCTCACCTCCTCTGGTATTTGAACAAAATAAACAAGAAATCATTGTTACAAAACAAAACTGAAGGATAGTCTGATCCAGGGAGAATGAATACATCCAAAAAGAGACTGTCACTTTGCTCCAGTGTAAAAAAGCTTATCCTATTTATGTTGTAAGGGGAAAAAAAGCATTGAGTAGCTGCTTCTCTGTCCTCTCCTCCTATCCAGATATTCATGTTGTACATATCATCTTAGTTTCCAGTTAAACTGAGAATTCTTAGAAAGCAGGTGTCTTGCTATGGTTGGTATAGACTTCCACATAGGAGAATCCATTTCCAAGCAGATTTCTCCTTCCATGGCTACATGAGAACTGGAAAACTGCATCTAGAAGAGATCTTGTACTCTATGCATGTCTGGCAAGAGACAGAGTGAGGGCATTTCTTCAGGGATTTCACTGACAGAGAACCCAAGTTATTTTCCAAACAAGAAAATGTCAGAGAACACTTATTTATTAAGATAAAGAAGTGTTTCAGACAAAATGCTTAATGTTCAATGGCCTTTAACAAAAGCAGCTACAGCGTCTGAATTTTCACCATATCTCAGAAATAAATTTAGATCAGCTATGCAGTACATAGGAGCTGATTCATGAAGGTCTTTGGACAGAAGATGTTTCATAAAGTTTATAAAAATACACTAGAAAAATAGATGTATGTCAAGTGTTTTGAAAGCTTAAATAATAAAGGGTAAAGGAGGAGACAACAGAAAAAGTTAAAATATAGGAAGATGGCTCAGGAACTTCTAATAAAGTGTCAGATCTGACACCTATACTCACTGTGGTCAGTGACAAGTTATTTAACCTCATATGTAAAATGAGGATAACATCAACCTCCTGGGGCACAAGGAGATTTAATTAGTTGCTATTCATGGATTAAGCAGAAAGTCTGAAGGTGAAAGCACTAAATACCAAATATGATTAGCTTCCAAAGTATTAGTTTCTGTAATTGGGCAACCCCGACATTACAAAAAAGTGGATCAGTGTCAATTTTAGAAATAAATTTATTTTTATGGTTCTATCATGTCAAAAAAGGTACCCAAACAAGGAATTTTGTTTTTAAAAGTAGTAACTGGAAACACATTTATATAAATATACAATGCAGCTTGTCATCTTGAATTCTGAGCTTCTGACTCCTACTCAAATTTACATTCCACATTCCTTAAGAGGAAATACGTTATCTTCAACCAAACAACTCTGCGAGCTGCAAGCTCCCGGAGCTCCCTGTAAAACTTGCACTGCGCTGTGCATTAGGGCTGCACTTCCTTTCTGAGGAAAAGCTCACAAGTGGTATTGACTCATTAACAGAAGACACGTTTTCTCGTGTGGCTGAGCTTTTCCTTACGCAGCCTGATCCCTCTGTAGCCAGTCCTGGACTTCCCAAGCAATCTGTACTGGCTGTTCTTGAGCTGGTTTCTCTGCTCTTCCAAGGTAGAGATAAATGGCCCTTGTAGAAGTTCCAAACCAACAAGAAAGAAAAGAGAAGAGCAAAACCAGCCCCTAGAAGTTTTAAAACAAGATTCTCTTTTTGGTTGTCCGTGGATTTTTGTTTTGCTGCCTCCTTCAGTAAAGAAGTTGGTACTGAAGACTTAAAACTCACAGCTGCTGTTTCGTTAAGTGTGCTTGTTGTGCCATTAACGTTTGCATCGTCTGACTTTTGTTGGGCGTAAAGGGCATAGCTGGCCACAGTGATAAGGAATTCTTTCCCTTTGGCTTTCTCTACTGAGAGACAATCATAGAATCCAGCCTCATCCATCGTCACATTAAATATTACTATTCCTCCATCATAGAGGAGGTATTTAGAGTCCTCAGCCTGAAGTCTGCTCCCATTAAACTTCCACACTACGCTTGCCAGATTTGACAGAGGAACACATTTAAGATGAACAGAATTTCCAAGGGCAAAGAGAAATTTTCTCACACTATTTTCTGAAATTATGAAGATTATTTTTAATTAAGAACAGTGAAAGTTTAGTTTAACTTACAAAACCAAATTCATATTTAAATAAATATCAAATTTCATTCACCAGTCTGACAATGGGTAATGAACAGGTAAGGGGTAAAGACAAAGAAATCCCATTACTAACAGGTCTGACCACCTCTCAGTGAGAGATAAGGGCAGAGAGTGCATCTTGCTGGCTTTATTCCACTGACAACTAAAAGAATGAATATGGAACTAGAAATTAAAGACTTCCAGATTCTCACCTGATTTTGCCTCACTTGTATATGTGGCCAACCACAAATAAATTCAGCTTCTTACGCCTAAACATTTATATGGGTAAATGATTTATCTTCAAAAAATGCTTTGATGTTTACATCTGACTGTTCCCTTACTGTCCCACTAATTACCTTATTATCATTTTTAGCACAGTCTAAAATATACAAGACTAAAGATAAGGCTGACTTTAAAAACACGTAACTGAAGAGAGAAACATCTTGTGTCACTGAAGAAAGTAATGCATCCTGCCACTCATTACAAAGTCACTAAATAATAATACCAGATCACGTACCTGTTAATCTACATTAAAATAAATTAATTTCCCAATCCCATTAAAATAAAAAAGTCATCTTAAATGGCTGCTAACATATAGCCTTATTTTTAAATGCACCTGTGAATAGTATTTGCTGTGTATCTGCAGAACAGTATCCTAGAGCAGTGACAGATTTAATAGGATGGCTGACGTGACATGTGATTTCCGCAAAGTGGGTGTGGGGGAGATACCAATAATCTCAAACGGCTCACATTTATGCTTCCCTTGAGAGTAATAGTTTCAATCTGAACAAGAGTATTCTGACATCAAGACTGAGGAGGTTAAGAACATAAGGCAGTAGCAGCGCACCATGGAGTTTGTTTTTTTATGGTCTTAGTTCAAAAGTAACAATCAACATGTTTTTAACTGTGTGGTTTTCTGTCACACAAGAATTCCAGTGACCACAGACCAAAAAAGCACTTTAAATTGCGTAATATTAAAATGTTCTCTCTTAAAATAAATGTTCACATACCTACACTAAGACAGCTGGAAGCATCCCCATATTTAACACTTTGAATTAAATTCCTGGGGGGAGGAGAAAAAAAAAGATTAAAAAAAAAAAACCCAGACAAAAAGTGTTCCCACTTATATGATACCATTTCTAGGGATCATCTGAGTTCTGTGTTGCAGACAGTAACAGTGCATTTATAAAGCAATCTCACATCAGTCGTACAGCTAAAAAAACATCTCTTTACTTACTTCGTATCACCAGTTTGATTTGTCAGTAGAACACATTCATTAGAAGACTGAGACCATGCACAGTAAGGATCCCGTGCCAAGACGCAATCCAAGCAGTATTTATATTGGTGGCATTCAGAAACTGGAAGCTGTACCACTTGGGATTGAGAGCCTACATAGAGCATTCCCTGGAAATGCAGGAGAGAGTTTTTATTTTATAATGGTCTGTGAGATTTTAAAGCCGTTATTTTCTAATACGGATTGTAAGAATTTCTACTACTTACTAAAACACTGTAAACTAAAAATCTTGCAAGAATAGATGGTATAAAAATAGACGGTGATAGGAAAAAAAAACAGATTTGCATAACAGGCAAAACGACAGAGTTCCTTCCCTAATTTTTTAATTGACATAAAGGCTCGTTTCAGTTATATTTTGATACACAGAAAATCTTCTACAGATAAAAAAAGGTATTGTGCTTTTGTTATTAATGAACACATGATAGAAGTAGAATTATGACACATTCACGGAGTATTTAAGAGCCAAAAGAACAATACAGAAGAGGAAGGCCTGAGGAAAACTATTACAGCAGTCACTTCGCATACGGAGGGACAGAAGTTCTACCTTTTTAGAAGACAGCTGGAGAGACTGTACAGGCTCAGGAGACAGAAACAGCTGTAGCTCTTCCACAATGAACATTTCCCCCTCCCAATTGAAAGCTTTATGCAAATATCCATCCTCTACATAAAATGAAATATATATTTTAAAGGAGAAATTTGTTTAAGCATTGCATAATATTTTCGCTTTAAAATTCAAGTTGAAATTAGATAGAGATTCACAAGCCATTCTTGGGATAAGGAATTTCTGAAATTCTTCAAAACAATTTTTAATTTTATTTCAGTAAGAGAGAGGTAGTGATTTTTCTCAGGGAAAAAAAAAAAAACCCAAACAATCCCGGAATTCGCAAATATCATTATGTCGAGACTCCTTTGATATAGAAAGTTTCTAATCAGAGCCTTTTAATGTCCAACAAACCACGCACATTTAATCTAACTGGGAAGAAAACATTAAACTAGCAAGGCAGCTTCCAAATGCAAAACTTTACTTTTCAGAAGTTTCAGAAAAAAATTTTGAAAGAAAATCCATAAAAAGTGTATAGAATTTTTTTCCTAAAAGCACTTACCTGTTCCTAGAAACATGACGTCATATGTTTGTTTATCAAGGCCAGTGACTCTGTCTACTACAATCCTGGTATAGTTTGAACCTCTTTTCAGTAACACTGGCCTATTACCAATTGGATTTACAGAATTATCCATTAGAGGGTGATCTCTAACAAACTGCAAAACTTTGTCAGGCAAGTCAGAAGAAGTGTTATATCCAATACTCCGGGCAAAATTATCAATGCACTAGAAACAAAACATAATGAATGTGATTACAATTGCTTTTACATTTCACCCAGGTATAAAAAAAGGATGTATTTTGTTCTAAACATGCAGCTATTTCTACTTATCTTCAAAGGGAAAAATAACTATTTTCCTCACACTCTAAGCATTACCCCATGTTCTTTGCAGAGCAGAACTCTAAGTAAAGTAGCTTTTCTAGGAACCTCCATATATACCCATAATGGGATAAGAAAGTAGGCACTTCTTTGCTGATTTATAAACACTACATTTCTATTGGCACAATATGAACTGATAATTTGGTACCAAAAAGGAAAATTCAGAGACTGTTCCTTCATTAAAACAAGTGAATTCATATTTACAGCACCAGGACGTGGGACTGGCACTTCTCCCCCGTATACCACCCATTTAACATGGGAATGTTCCACAGTTACTGGTCCTTTGTAGCTTCCTTTGGAGAAGACTTCTTGAATATTTTTCAGACTGTATGCACAAACAGCTGATATGTCCAATCTTCCCCTTCGAAGAAAAAAATAAAATAAAATAAAAGCAAGTTTTATTGGCTTTTAAAGAGAAAGAAAAGCTGTAAAACAACCTGCTCTCCACAGTGCACACTCCTGCGTCTTTCTGAGGATTAGTTAAAAGATATCTAATACTAAAAATACTTCCCTCTGGCAGTTTTCATGATTCTCTAAGAAGGGAGTAAAGCAATTTCTACAAGATTGTGTTAAATATGTTTTTGTTAAAAATCAAGTAACAGCCCTCACATCAACTGAAATGGCTGAGATGATGAGGTCCGTTTGACCATCTCTTTTAACCAAACGGACAGGTTTCCCCTCCCTCTGGCACCACTCTTCTGACACACCATTAATTCCTCTTGTAATCTTTCTAATTTCTCTTGTTGGAAAACACAAAACTCTTCCGCTTTGCCTTCAATGTTAATGTTTTCCAAAATAACAACTAAACGTTTAGGTAAACTTTTAGGACTGTATAGTTCAGACACCAATCTCATTTCATTTCTACCAGGGAATATGAAGTGATACACACAAAGTCCGAGTTTCTTTACCATACCCAAGGGAATAAATGTTGTGGTCTTTAAAATGCACATCTGCAGTTTCCTGTCTTAGCACACATTGAACCCAACCTGCTATAACCAAAAATAAAACGGTCACATAAGCTCTGGCAGGTATGAACTGTCAGGTACATAATACTGACTGAGCTGCATTCTGAGAATTCTGATGCTTATTATAAAACACGAATATTACGTACTCATAGTTACTTTATCATGGTAATTTTTGACATATAAGGTTTCAATACACTCCTGTGTCTTATTTCTCTTCATTTGTCAGAGCAGTGAGAAAAAGCTAGTTAACAGTAAAATATGAAAGGAAGTAGACTGGAGTTCTGTTTTTATTTTTATAGAACGTTACATTAGACAAGTAGGCCATGACAGAGACTGCTCTTGGAATAGAAGACAAATTCTGCACCTTGAAACGCCAGCTATTTCCTTTAATGCAATAAAGGCCAGAAGAATCTAGGGCTTTGTGTAAGTAATTATGTAATTTTATATGTAATTAGTTTTAATTGCTCCACCATCTGAACAGAGAAACCATTAACTCTAAATACTTGGCTTAGGAGGAGCTTTTGGTTAGTCTTTAATTGAAGGCCTTGGCCCAGGAACCAAACAACATTTTGTTTCAGAAGACGATAATATTTTCTCAGTTGGATCAAGCTGCAAGGAAAACAAATGCGGTCCATTAAAACATGCAGAGTAGCTGGTAACCTCTAATTCTGAGATAAAGACAAATGGCTGCAATCAGGCCATTAATACTGAAGTGAGAACCCTTTACGCAGTTCATTACAAACTCTAGTACCAGATGTAATCCTTTATCTCACCATTGTTGGGAAAAAATTCCATAAAAAATGCTGTCTTGCCAGTCTGTTCTCCTCAGTAAAAAGATGTCCTGGATAATATTGAAATGGAAATGCAATTCTGGAATGGAACAGGAAAGTCGGGATTTTAAAAATGATGTCCATCTTCTTTGCAATATGCGTTTTCCACCAATATCACCCTAAATGAAGGAATAATACCATCACTGTGGAACGTATAAAGAAACGGATGTAATTTTCACCTGATAGCATTGCTGTAAGGAAAAATATAGTTGGCCTTTCAATACAAATCTCAGGTCACAGCCAAAGAAAAGAGGTTTAAATGTCATATGCAACCCAAACAGCTGGTTCTGTTCTAGGAAGAAAAGGAGGAAGCTAGTTTAGAAATAAAGGGCATACAATAGAATTTCAGTTGGTGAGACAGTGTAGATACCTCTGTTAATCATTCAGCTAAGAAACTTCATTTGAAATACACTAAACACAATCTTTATACTACAAATATTAACCTTGCAGATACGGGCAATTCTGGACACCAGAAGCTTGTCATAGAATTCAAATTCAACAGCTGTTTCAGTGAAGAACACATAAATTTTATCGTCATCTCCATTTGGATTAGATTCACTTTCCTGTACTATCTCCATATTGACAAAGCTTGGTTCTGAAATACATGAATATACAAAACATTTTATTTATGAAAGCCCATAAGTGACAGATCTTGTTCTAAAATTACGTATCTAATTGACCTTTTTTGTGGAGCAGTGGACAGGGAAAGGGCTGGAAAGTATTTATGAATTAGGATCTATCAACAATTAAGAGAAGAAATTGTGCTTTCATAAATGGGAAGAGATTGTGGTTTGTCTCATCACTGTAGTCCTTAGTGACAATTTTTTTTTTTTAAATTTTGTCCTTAGTTTAAAAGCTCACACTTTCTGGACATTGCAAAAATTAATACCTAACATACACTATTACATTCTACAAATAACTCACACACCAACCGAAGCTCAAGAGACTGAAATATGTATAACGACTTCTTACCATTTAGCCAAGATTTTTTAAATTCTGTTCTTACAGGGTTCCTCATACTGCGAAGTATTATAGGCTCTGTTCCCAAAAAATTGTTTGAAGTAGCTGAATAAAATGCACCATCTGTAAAGTTTTGGAACAAATAACAAAGCATAAAGTACTTATTTTTAAAATGCAAAGAAATAGCTGTAAGAAACAAACCAGGGGTTGACATTTCATGCAAAAATAGAATTAGGATAACAGGTATCCAAAAACTAAGCTCAGGTGAGGAAAACTACTTCAGCTTGCACGTCAGTCCAAACGTACCTACAAAAACAGAAGCATACTTCAGAGTTGGTTCAAATGGACATTTTCCTCTGCTCTCTTCAGCTTTTCCTTGCAAACTTATGTTTGTCCTATGGATAACCTATGGTAAGCAATCATTTTAATAGGATGAAAACCAAGCCTCCCCTGTGATAAAATGAAATGATTAGCAAATACCTTTAAAGGAGAAGATCACAGAACAGAGTTAGTACAGAAACGTGAATTTTGTGCAAAAAGAAATAACGTTTGGTAAACACTTCCCTGGTCTTTCATGCTTTTATAAAAGAATTATAACAATTTCAAGTTTTTGACAAGGAATAACTTTAGAAAGGTGCTTAAAGATCTGCCATACTACTCAAACATCTTCAGTAAAACCTGTACTCAAATATAATTACCATATGATCACAAGCTGGGTGATATGCATTGGTTCCACAAACATACAAGTTAGAGTCATTTATTTTATGGAGGAAGAGGATGTAGTTCTGGCATCTTATCTAAAACAAAAATAAAAGGAGAGTAAATTTACATAGTTTAGGTGGTTTGCATCTGAAAATGTTCTGGTGTCTGAGCAGCAAGCAAACAAGCCTGTAAGATTCAAATACCTGCTTTTACTTCTTTTACTTACCCCCCCCCCCCCCGGCGCAATTGATCCTGTAGCTGTTTTTTTGTCTTAGTTAACAACTTAGAGGAGGAAACAAAGGTTTTGCCTACCTTGTCCTTTCCTCTACGGATACATTCCAGCTGTCTTTCCTGTGTAGCAAACCAGTATTCCTAGAAGCCAAAATACATCAAAGTTGGTATGCTGCAATTTTCTGCAGAACAGCTATGCGCAAAAATAAAAACAAAATAAAGCTAACTTTGAACCTATTGGGGTAAATAAGCATTTCTATGTTTTTCTATAACATATACAGCACAATAATAATCTGAAGAGATGCTTTGTCTTACTTCAAAAAATGATTTTGTGATACAGTTACAAGTCTTGAAATGATAATACTTCGCTATATTTAAAAATCAGATCATTAGGTGATCCCAAATACATAAAACCACAGACAAGATATTTCCATAAGGCAGGCATGAAATAAGATGTTTAACTTACCCTGGCTATTTCTCTAGAAATATTATTCAAGTCAAGAGCAAATACAGCATCTCTGCCTCCAACAAATAAGGTATCAGTTTCTTCATTCACAAGCAGAGTGGAAACATTGGATAATCCTTGTTTCATAAAAGTTTTTATTTTTCCAGCTATAAACATAGAGGATAAGTTATTTAAAAAAAAATTATCTCTAGAATCCCACTGTCATATAATTGAAATTCCAGACTGAAAAAAATAGTAACAAAGCAAAGATAAAGTTTATACCTATTTCCTGAATATTTTCTAAATAAGATGAAAATAAACAACATAGTATCACTATTAGCTATATGCCAGGACCTCCAGCTACAACAATTAATATTCAGGTGTTCCTCACTGCAATTTGGGCAAGTGCATGTGCTGCCGCTGAGGTGAAACAGTCCATAGCATTCTCTCCTGAGCCTAAAAAAATAAAGCCCCAGCCCTGTGCTATGTTCCTTTGTGTTGATTAAATTACTCTTTTTCACTTACTTTGGTATTTTACTGTTTTTCTGGGAATGCAGTTCACAACAGATGCTTCTGTCTCTTGCATTAATTGCAAAACAAGATAAACAACAACAGCAGTGCTACCCATTTTCAGAGATTTGACTAGAAATAAGTTCTTTCCAGTTTAAATTCCTTGACCTTAAATAATTACAGTCAGCAATTTCTTCATGGTTCTTGAGAAAGTCCTGCTAAAGACCTCCAAAGTAGATATCTGTAGTCTTCAAACATTTTCTGAAACTTGTGAAATCAAAGCCACCTCTCACATTTTCCTTTCCAATAACTACTTCCAGATATCCTAAAATTAAAAGCAGTTTAAGTTCAACGTAGTATTTGGCTACCTTCATTTTTATAAGAGATGGACAACAGTGCCCTTTTACAAGATTTTGTAGCTATTACCTACATTGTTGCTATTCAGAATTAGATCCTAATCTGATGACAATTCCAGGCTACTGCCAGCAAACAATTGCTTAGGCATCTTTTCTAATCCACATTTTTCAATACTTGGTCACAACAAAGGTGAATTAGTATTATTTAATTATTTTTCCTTTAATGTATTTATTTCTTAGCTTTATGTCAAGTCCAAGATTCTCATTTGCAAGCTGAGATCTTTCAGATTTTCCACAGCATCTAAACATTATTTTGAAAAGAGGAAGAACTTGTAAGAACACTTGCAGCAGTCAGCTATTGTAAGTATCTAAGAGAAATCATAGCTAAGATTGCTTTCTTCTCTTCAGCAATTCACTAGTTTATACATATATGCATATACATACACATATATATCTCAACCACAGGTTAGCAAGAAAGAATTTATATTTTATTAATTTAATTAGAGTCAGGTACTCCTACGCCTGAAATCCTGGCAGTCTTGTCTAAATGAACACGCCCTCCAGGTAACGCTAGAAAATTAAGCAAAATTAAAGCTAGGTAGTTGTAATCTGCAATTACCGAAACCACAAAGATTCCAAATCTGCTTGTATAAAGACAGGAATCTGAGCTCTTTATGCACTTTCATCTTTAGGCAAATGCCGACAGCAAAACCAACTGCATGCATTAGCCAAAGCCAAGTAAGACATTGCTTGGGTAAAGTATTTTTAAATTAATAAATCAGGCTAGAAACTTCAGAAAGCTGTCAAGTAATTTCTGTTAGCCCCTATAACATAACCCAGGGTGTGATTCCCCATAGACAGATTTGGCCCGCATCCTGAACGCACACATGCTAAAACACTCCCATGGTCTGCAAATGCCGATCTCCTAGGACACAAGAATATACTTTTTCCAGTCTTGTTTTATACTTTTCTGCAGCCAGCTTTGTTTGCAGCACCGGGGACAGCTAGTCCTGGCAGTAAGGGACACCAAGTGCTGGCAGTGCACCTTCCCCACCGAGTCTTTTGTTTCAGCTGAGAAACCTTACTTACGACCCCGGCCTCCCACTGCAGGTTTTGTCCTAGCCCCTTCCCTCGGGGCAGCAGGGCGTTTAGGCACAACGCCTGAGGCGCAGCGGGCCAGGCCTGAGGGACAGGAGGCTTAAGGACGCCCGCGGCTCCACGATCCCCCAGCTACGCCCCAGCCCAGCATCACCCCACCCAGCCCCATCGCCCCTCAGGGAAAGA